AGGATTGTGAGGGGGTGTCAGAGGGGGCAGAAAACACAAGTTTGGCCCAATTCTATCGTTGGTGGAGTTCAGAATGCTCTTTGATTGTAGGTAAACTATAAATCCCAGCAACTACAACTCCCAAATGTCAAGGTCTATTTTCCCCCAAACTCCACCAGTGTTCACATTTGGGCATATTGAGTATTTGTGCCAAGTTTGGTCCTGATCCATCATTGCTTGAGTCCACAGTACTCTCTAGATGTAGGTGAACAACAACTCCAAAACTCAACGTCAATGCCCACCAAACTCTTCCAGTAGCAAAAATAATGTTACGGTTGGGGGTCACCACGACATGAGAATTTGTATTAAGGGATCGCACCATTAGGAAGGTAGAGAAACACTGATCTAGCAAAAGGAAGTAGCTAGGGACTGACAAAGACAACATTGTGGGATTAGAAGCTTTGTGATGCAACTGTGAGTCACTTGTTGCATGGCAAATTGTGAAGTGCAGACACTCGTCACAATATCTTTTGTTAACAAGCCTTACGAAATAAATACGGAAGCAGAGAAGGCCACCAGGTGAGTTCCATCTCCATCCAGAGGGGCCTTTTGCAAAGCTAATAACCCTTGATGGCTCATTCGAACTGCAAAAGGCGAGGATTCTTCACCACAATTGAACATTGCTCAGAAATGCATCTCGCCACACCTTTTGGTTATTTTAACCAAGGGGTATAAGATACTATACAATTATATACAGACAGAGTCCAATGTCCCATGGGAAGCTCTGAAGACATTTCACCCCAAATTCGAGGATTGATGTCTCCGGCAATAATAATGTCTCTATTCATGCCCCATGATGAGGTCCACCGCTTGCTTTTAGACCAGGTTGAACTCGTCCAAATAGCCGGCCAGAACGGCGTCCTTGATGTCCTCGAAAACAGTGCTGATGTTCCGCGTGTCTGTGGCACACGTGTAGTGCGGGTAGAGGATCCGGGGTCGGGAGCTCTCGTTGGCAAGCCCTGCTCCGTAGGCACCGTCCAAAGCTGCCGAAGATTGGCCAAAGACCTCGGTGTACATTTCGAGGATGAAGCGCTTGGCGGCCGCCGCGTCGCGTTTTGGACCTGAGAACAGAAAGGCAGCACTCAACGTTTGAGAAAGATTGCGGGTTGAGCAATGAATAAACAAACACAGGAGCATAAGGATATGTAACAGATAAAATTAGAATAAGGCAGAAGTCGTAGAATTGACAGTGCTAATAAAATATTGATTAAACAAAGAAAAACAACGAGGTTGAAAAGAAGGGAAAATAAGCAAAGAAAGAGTACCCTTCTCCAATATATAATAATACAGTAGAGTCTCGCTTATCTGACATAAATGGGCCAGCAGAACCTCAGATAAACGAAAATGTCGGATAATGTGGAGTTTCCTACTGTTACCCGTCCAACGTGGCGCTAGACACCTAGAATACTAACAACAGGGACTCAAAGGGTTAAGGCAAGGCAACGCCTCAGGGTTAGAGGGGCCCAGCAGGAAGTGCCCAGATGCGAAAGAGGAACGTGGAAATAACAGAGGGAAGGAGGAAGGACACTTCCGCTTCCGGTCCTGCCTCTTGTCCCCCTTTCTTCCCTCCTCCTCCTCCTCGCCTTGCCTTTTTCACTTATTGGGAATAGAGAGAGAGTTGGGGTGCATTCATTTATTATTTATTATTTATTATTTATTATTTCATATATTTGTACCCCACCCTTCTCAACATCAGGGGGATGGGACTCAGGGCGGCTTTAATTGAAGGGAAAATGCTGGAGGAAAAGGGGGCATCGGATAAGACGGAATGTCGGATAAGCGAAGGTCGGATAAGCGAGACTACTATAATAGTAATCTATCCACATAATAAAAGTGAAAATATGTGTGTGTGTGTGTGTGTGTGTGTGTGTGTGTGTGTGTGTCTGGGGTATCCACTTACACAGACAGGCTCCCATTTCCACAAATAGCTACAGCTCCCACTACTTAGGAGACACCAATGGCCCTCCCTCCAATGACATAGCAGGTTATAGTGAGTGCCATGAACATGTCCAAGAGCACTGCCAATGTCCTCCACGAACACCACACTCCCCACTACCCAACTGAAGGCTTTCATACAGGGACCATTCCATCCTAGATTTTGTGTGTTTCCTCCACCACAGACATCCCAGTGTTTCTTACTCTCTCAACTGGTGTGGAATTTGCATGACCCCGCCCACTGCTTTTCCCTTAACCCTTTCCTATTCTTTTCCATGGCACACAGCAAACAGAGGAATTGATCAGCAACTGAGCATATTAGAGGTTTGGGGAGAATTCACCATGATTTATAGGAGTTGTAGGTACTAGGATGTATAGTTCACCTGCAATCAATGAGCACTCTGAACTCCACCAATGATGGACCTGGAACTAACTTGGCATGCATACACAGAAACCCCATGACCAATAAAAAATATTGGAAGTCTTTGGAGGGATTTATAGGAGTTGTAGTTCACCTACACCCAGAGCAAACTATGAACCCAAACAATGATGGATCTGGACCAAACTTGGCATGCATACCCAATATATCCAAATTTGAACGCTGGTGGGTTTTGAGGGGAATTGGCCTGAACATTTTGGAGTTGTAGGTACTGGGATGTATAGTTCACCTGCAATCAATGAGCACTCTGAACTCCACCAACGATGGACCTGGAACTAACTTGGCACACAGAATCCCTTTGACCAACAAAAAATATTGGCTGTCTTTGGGGGGAAATTCAGCTTGATTTGGGGGAGTTGTAGTTCACCTACATCCAGAAATAATTGTGAACACAAACCCTGATGGATCTGGACCAAACTTGGCATACATGCCTGATATGCCAAAACTTGGATTACTGGAGGGGCTTGGGGGTAACTGACCTTCCTTTCTGGGAAGTCCAGGTCCATCATCAGACCAAGTTTGGTCCAGGTCCATCATCTGGTTGTGGGTGAACTTCAACTTCCTTTCTGGGAGTTGAAGTTCACCCATAACCAGATGATGGACCTGGACCAAACGTGGTCTGATGATGGACCTGGACCAAACTTGGCACACAGAACCGCCATGACTAACTCAACCTACTGGAGGGGTTTGAAGTAAGTGACTCACCATACTGGGATTTGTAGTTTACCCTGCAGCCAGAGAGCACATTGAACCCAACCAATGATGCATCTGGAGCCAACTTGCCCAACATAATAAACTTTAAGTACTGGTGGAGTTTCTTAAAGTGTGACCATAGGAGGATTTGAACCCAAGGCCCTTATTCCAAGTACTACCTTGTTACAGTATATGATTTTTGTAAGTCTTGACAAGAATCATCTCTTGCTTATATGTGTGTTGAGGAAGAACACATGGACAATGTAGCAATCAAGTTAAGGTGAATGTATATCAGGTGAAGGTTTTTTTTTGATGCAAGTAGTGGGTGAAATGAAGTAATTAGAGATGTAACTATGCTACAAGGTTTGCTGGAAAGAAGCAGATTAATGCATTATTTTGTAAGTGTTTTTTTCCTTCTGCAATGGACAATGTGGACAATGTGTTTTCAAGGCTACTGTATTTTTCTTTATAAAGCTGCTTGTGTTGACTACTCAAGAGGAATGATTTTTTTCCCTTTATACTCTGTGTAATTCAACTTGGGATCTGGAGCTGGGAAGGCTGCTGGGTAGCTTCCATATAAACTAACAAACCACAACATACCTTGCAATGTTTTGAATGGGAACCAGGAAGAATTACCTGTGAATGCCGGGAAATAGGCCGACAAGTCTGAGCTCAGGATCTTCTCCTCTAAAATGTCCACTTTGTTGAGGAAGAGGATGATGGAGGCGTTTGAGAACCAAGGCAGGTCCAGGATGGTTCGGAAAAGATCCAAGCTCTCCTGCATCCGGTTCTGATGGAAAGGAAGGGAGGCAGGACAGCATGAAACCTAGAATTCTAGAGTTGGAAGGGACCCCCAAAGACCATCCAGTCCAACCCCTTCTCTCCTCATATAGGAAAACCACGATCCAAGACTCCGAGGCAGAGAGTTCCACTGTTACAAGATGGCTATTCAATTAAGACCAGGTTTTATTTCCCTCCCAGAGCCTTACTTCGCTGCTGTTCTCCTCCAGGGATTGGTCGTATTCGCTGAGCGATGCCAAGTAGATCAATGCGATCACTTTTTCAAAGCAGTGGATCCACTTCCGGCGCTCCGACTTCTGGCCGCCAACGTCGACAATCCTAAAAACAGAAGATGTTTTGAAGGTTACAACGATAATAACAGGGCTTGAATTAATAATAATAATAACAAAAATATCTGTTATTGCTATTTTAATAAAGATAATAATAATAACAATAATAAAACTTATATCACTATATACATCAAGCTCTGATTCCTTGAAGACTGGCCTCATATTGTCATGTTGCAGCCAGTTTAGCCATAGTTTCTGAACCAGCCGTACTGGGTCCGCCTCTGGGCTGACTCCTGATGATGCCCAAAGCTATGTTTTCTCACCTGAGTGTGACCTTTTGGACCAGGAAACAGTACTCATTGATGCCAGTGGTTGGGACGCGGGTCCGCAGGATGTCCTGGGCGCTGGGCACATACCCCTCCGCTGCAATGCGCTCCAGGTGTGACAGGAAACTGAAAGGCAAGAGCAACTAGAATCAGGAGAGCGAAGTCCACCCGGATTGAGACGCATCACTGATGCAAACCACAAAATACACTCACCATGTCTATATCCAGTAAGTTCTTTCTTTCCTCCCATCTTTCCTCCTTCCCTTCTTTTCTCTCTGTCTCCCATCCTTCCTTCATACCCTCCTCTCTCCCATCCTCTTTTCCTTTCCTTCCCTCCCTCCCTTCCTTCCATCCATCCATCCATCCATCCATCTTTCCTTCCTTCTTTCCTTCCTTCTTTCCTTCCTTCCTTCCTTCCTTCTTTCCCGCCCTCCCACCCACCCTTCTTTTCTCCCTCCCACCATTCCTCAGTCCCTCCTTCCATTCACCCTTTCCCCCTCCCTCCCAAATTTCCTTCTTCTCTCCCTCCCTTCTTTCCTCCCTCCCATCATTCCTTCCTATCTTCTTTCCAGTCTTCTTTTCTTGTCTTTCCTCCTTCCCTCCCTCCTTTACTTCTTTCCTCCCTCCCTTTCTTCCTCCCACCCTTCTTTCCTTGCTTGCTTTTTTCTTTTTTTCCTCTCTCCCATCCTTCCTCCCTTTTTTCCTCCCTCCCTCCCTTCCATCCTTTCTTCCTTCTTTCTTTCTTCCCTCCCTCTCCCATCCTTCTTTCCTGCCTTCCTTCCTTCTTTCCTCACTCCCTCCTTCCCGTCCTTCTTTCTTTCCTCCCTCTCTCCCATCCTCCCTCTCTTCTTTCTTTCCTCTCTCTCTCCCATCCTCCCTCCCTTCTTTCCTCCCTCCCCATCTTCTTCCCAGTCGTCTTTCCTCCCTCCATCTCTCCCTTCTTTCCTTCCTTCCTTGGTAAGTCTAGACAAGTTTTGATAAGCCATTCGTCTCCCTGGAAAGCAGGGAGCCCAGAGGGAGCTGGATGTCCTCCATTGCCCTTTGACTGCTTTGAAATTCCTCAATACCCACATAGCTGACATCTCAGGCAGAATATAGCCCTTTCCCCCTCCTTTTAACATCTTCAAAGTCACTAGTAAGTTTGTAAATGGGAATAGAGGTTGGCCTTAGTGTTGCCTGTCAACAATATGGTTCCACAAAAGAAGGACTGGCACTGCTTTGAGGCATATAGATCCAATCCTGTCCTCAAGGGATGGAGAAAGGGACTCACTAAGGGGTGGAATCCAGCAGGTGATATTCCCTCCGCCTCAGGTAGCAGGTTTGGATCCCGGCGTCCTTCCAGAGACTGGCAATGCTCTTTGCTTGCTCCGCGTCTAAGACGGTGGCCTTGTAGGCATCGACTCCTAGTAGCAACCGAGCCTTTTGCTAGGAGGTAAATCGAAATCAAATCAAAATTCAACCCATTTGTTTTTATTATTGCTTCCATATTATATTATATCATATCAGCGGTCCTTCGATGATGGCTATAACGTTATATGTATTAAGGAATTAATAGTTAATGTTTTCAGTGGCTGAACTGAGACTCAAGTGATTAGGATAAGGTTCTGGTCAACATAAACAACCCATATTTCATCACATAATAGTCACTGTGTGTTAATAGTCACCACCGCCATTTTTCGGGTGGGAAAATAGGTATTTCTGTATTCTTCGCATAATAATCGCAGAGCCATTTGGACTGATTCGCCCTTCCTTCCTTCTTTCCTCACATACTAGTCACAGAGCCGTTTGGGGCTAGTTCCCCCTTCCTTCCTTTTTTCCTCGCTAATAGTCACAGAGCCTTTTGGGGCTAATTCCCCCTTCCTTCCTTCCTTCCTTCCTTCCTTCCTTCCTTCCTTCCTTCCTTCCTTCCTTCCTTCCTTCTTTCCTCACACAATAGTCACAGAGCCGTTTGGGGCTGATTCCCCCTTCCTTCCTTCTTTCCTTGCATAATAGTTGCAGAGCCATTTGGAGCTGATTTCCCCCTTCCTGTTTTCCTCGCATAGTAGTTGCAGAGCCGTTTGGCGCTGATTCCCCCTTCCTTTTTTCCTCACATAATAGTTGCAGAGCCATTTGGGGCTGAGTCGCCCTTCCTTCCTTCTTTCCTCACATACTAGTCACAGAGCCGTTTGGGACTGATTCCCCCTTCCTTCCTTCTTTCCCCGCATAATAGTCATAGAGCCGTTTAGGACTAATTCCCCCTTCCTTCTTTCCTCACACAATAGTTGAAGAGCCGTTTGGGGCTGATTCCCCCTCCCTTCCTTCTTTCCTCACATAATAGTTGCAGAGCCATTTGGGGCTGATTCCCCCTTCCTTCTTTCCCTCCTTCCTTCCCTCCCTCCCTCCCTCCCTCCCTTCTTTCCTTCCTCCAAAGAGCTCTATTTCAGATTTTGTAAATTGCTTTGCCTTTGGAGAAGTAAGGAAGGAAGGAAAGGGAGGGATCTTTAAACAAACAAACCAACAGAAATACAGTTGTTTGTTTCAGGATGGATCCTCCCTCTTCCTCCTCGGAGGTAAGGCAGTTTATTTCCATTTTTGAAAAACCGGAAACCCAAAAAACAAAGGCAGGTTATTCTTTTTCATCGCACAATAGTCTCGCCCCCTTTTTCGGTCAAACAAAAAAAGGTACAACTATTATGCAATGAAATACAGTAACTGCTCCAGGACTGAGTGGAATCGAGCTGAGGTTGTGCTTCTATCTAAGGGCCACACGTTCCGACTCACCGCGTTCTCCGGACTTTCATATGGGATCTGGAGGGTCTCCATGGCCTTGATCATGGCCTGGATGGACATGAAGATATTCTGGTAGACGATCTTTGCGAAGGCCTTGCGGTCCTCCTCTGTGTAGCCCACCCCATGAATGATCCGCATCTGTTTGATAAAGGTGCTCTTCCCGCTCTCCCCGGTGCCTAAAGGGGAGCATAAGGGGACCTCATCATCCGGTATGCATACTTCTATTAATGCAGTCTAAAATATTATTCACTCTATTACTTCCCTTGGAAATAATGCTTCTATTAATGCTGTATAAAATATTATTTGCTCTATTACTTCCCTTGGATACCATTCTTCTATTAATGCAGTATAAACTATTGTTTTCTCTATTTCCCATGGAAATATCTAAATATATTAGAGGTAGATTGTTGTTGTTGTTGTGTTTATTATGTTGTTATGTTTATTTATACTCTACTTCTGCTCTCCTCAAAGGAGACTCAAAGTGACTTAAACTGAAAGCATTTAAATATAATTTAAAATCCAAAATTAGTAAATTGTGTGTGTGTGTGTGCGTATGTGTGCGTATGTGTGTGTGTGTGTGTGTGTGTGTGTGTATATATATGCCGTCCCCTCCCACGCGTTGCTGTGGCCCACATGGGAGAACTGTGTGCCAAGTTTGGTTCAATTCCATTGTTGGTGGGGTTCAGAATGCTTTGTGATTGTAGGTGAACTATAAATCCCAGCAACTACAACTCCCAAATGTCAAGATTCTATTTTCCCCAAACTCCACCAGTGTTCACATTTGGGCATATTGAGTATTCATGTAGAGTTTGGTCCAGATCCATCATTGTTTGAGTGCACAGTGATCTCTGGATGTAGGTGAACTACAACTCCAAAACCAAAGGACACTGCCCACCAAACCCTTCCAGTATTTTCTGTTGGTCATGGGAGAACTGTGCGCCAAGTTTGCTTCAATTCCCTCATTGGTGAAGTTCAGAATGCTCTTTGATTGTAGGTGAACTATAAATCCCAGCAACTAAAACTCCCAAATGACAAAATTAATTGAGCACAGTGAACATGTCCAAGAGCCCTGCCAATGTCTTCCACAAACACCATACTGCCCACCAGGCCCGTAGCCAGGATTTCGTTTCGGGGGGGGGGGGCGGGCTGAATTTTTTTTCAGGGGGGGTTTCGGGGGGGGGCTGAGTTTCGGGGGGGCTGAGTCTGAGTGAAAGAGGGTCTAGCCTAGCAAACCTTTTGTATCATTACCCCAATACCCCCATGCATATGGGATATATTGAGTATGGTGATCAGATCATGATATGAATAAACACAACAGTTTAAATAATGCACCAGTAAGGCCTTTTTGCGAACCACCATGAGAATTTCGGGGGGGCTGAAGCCCCCACCCCACCCCCCCCCCCCCCCCCGGCTACATGCCTGCTGCCCACTACCCAAGTGAAGGCTTTCATATGGGGACAAATTCATTCAAGATTTTATGTGTTTCCTCCACCATAGACACCCCATTGTTTATTACTCTCTCCACTTGGCACACAGCAAACAGAGGAATTGATCAGCAACTGAATATACTAGAGAGGTTTGAGGAGAATTCAGCATGATTTATAGAAGTCGGTGGGTTCTTTTATTATTTATTTGCAGCATTTCTACACCGCATTTCTCTAACTCGGAGGTGACTCAGGGTACTGGGATGTATAGTTCACCTGCAATCTAAGAGCACTCTGAATCCCATCAAGGATGGACCTGGAACTAACTTGGCACACAGAAACCCGATGACCAAGAAAACACACTGAAGGTCTTTGGAGGGATTTATAGGAGTTGTAGTTCACCTACATCCAGAGCACACTAGGAACCCAAACATTGATGGATCTGGACCAAACTTGGCATGCATACCCAATATGCCCAACTTTAAATGCTGGTGGGTTTTGAGAGGAATTGGCCTGGACATTCTGGAGTTGTGGAAACTGGGATGTATAGTTCACCTGCAATTAATGAGCACTCTGAATTCCACCAAAGATGGAATTGGACCAAACTTGGCATACAGAGCCCCCATGATTAGCAAAAAAATACTGGAGGTCTTTGGGGAAAATTCAGCTTGGTTTGGGGAGTTGTTGTTCACCTACATCCAGAGAGCACTGTGAACCCAAACACTGATGGACCTGGACAAAACTTGGCACACATACCTGATATGTCAAAATTTGATTACCAGGAAGGCAAGGGGGAGGGGGGGAGGACTGACCTTCGTTTCTGGGAGTTGTAGTTCACTCACAATCAAAGAAACTGTGACATCCACCGATGATGGACCGGGACCAAACTTGACACAGAACCCCCATGACTAACTCAACCTACTGGAGGGGTTTGAGAGGACTGACTCACCATAGTGGGAATTGTAGTTTACCTTACAGCCAGAGAGCACACTGAACCCCACCGATGCTGCATCTAGAGCAAACTTGCCCAACATAACAAACTTTAAGGACTGATGGAGTTTTAGGGGGTTAACATGGCATGATGGGAGTTGTAGTTTGTCCACTACCTATGCATTTTGTGTAATTAAAATTTTGACTTTTTCAAATAACCCAGGCAATGCTGGGGACCCAAGCCAGTATAATAATAATAATAATAATAATAATAATAATAATAATAATAGCAGCGATAATGCAAAAGACTTGAGGTGCTCACCCAGCAAAAGGAGCTTCAGTTCCCATCGGTCCTTCTTCTTTTGCTCCTGGAGAAGGCGGTTGATCTCTCTGTCGATGGCAACGGCTCTCTTCTCGTCCTCCGACAGAAGGCAAAAGCACCAAAACATGATGGAATGAGTTTCAGGGATAAATCCAGAACAGGACACATGAAAGAATGGATGCCGCCGCCACCCAAATGTTCTCGGCCGGCGAATATTTCTGTCTCGAATGCCCAGTCCAGCTGCATCAGCGCCTACCACAACCCTGGAAGGAGGTGCCCACCTCCAGATCAGATTTCAGCAGAATAAAGGATCTGGAGAATTGTTTGCACAGAAACAGACTACAGATCTAGCATTGAAACAGCAAGGAGAGGCACCTTTCTTGAACAGACCAGTGGAAGGCGAATGGGGATGAGCCTCAGACGTGATGGCAGCGTTCGGCATCTCTTCTGGACAGTTCAGATCACAGTCTGATGGTCTGCAAGCCTTGACTGAAGGCCAGGAAAGCTTCACCGTTAATAGCCTTGAGCCATTCCCTTGTACAAGAGGAGAAAGACATTAAGGAAGACAGCATCCAATTCCAACAGATGGCCATCCAGTCCGACCCCCTTCCGCCATTAAAGAAGGCACCATCCAATCCCTCCTGACAGATGGCCATCCAGTCCAGCTCCCTTCTGCCATTAAGGAAGGCACCATCCAATCCCTCCCAACAGATGGGCATCCAGTCTGACCCCCTTCCATCATTAAGGAAGGCACCATCCAGTCCCTCCCAACAGATGGCCATCCAGTTCGACCCACTTCCGCCATTAAAGAAGGCACCATCCAATCCTTCCTGACAGATGGCCATCCAGTCCAGCTCCCTTCTGCCATTAAGGAAGGCACCATCCAATCCCTCCTGACAGATGGCCATCCAGTCCAGCTCCCTTATGCCATTAAGGAAGGCACCATCCAATCCCTCCCAACAGATGGCCATCCGGTCTGACCCCCTTCCATCATTAAGGAAGGCACCATCCAATCCCTCCCAACAGATGGGCATCCAGTTCGACCCACTTCCGCCATTAAAGAAGGCACCATCCAATCCTTCCTGACAGATGGCCATCTAGTCCATTTCCCTCTTGCCATTAAAGAAGGCACCATCCAATCCCAACAGATGGCCATCCAGTCTGACTCCCTTCCATCATTAAGGAAGGCACCATCCAATCCCTCCCAACAGATGGCCATCCAGTCCGACCCCCTTCCACCATTAAAGAAGGCACCATCCAATCCCTCCTGACAGATGGCCATCTAGTCCCGCTCCCTTCTGCCATTAAGGAAGGCACCATCCAATCCCTCCTGCCAGATGGCCATCCAGTCCGACCCCCTTCTGCCATAAAGGAAGACACCATCCAATCCTCCCAACAGATGGCCATTCAGCCTTCATTTAAATACCCCCAGAGAAGAGGACTCCTTCAGACTGAAGCAGCCTATGCCATCACCTTAATATTTAGGTGGAATCTCTTTTCCTGCCATTTGAACTCATGGCTCCATTGTGCCCAAGTCTCCGGAGCAGGCCCTTTCTTTATGTGACCTCCTTTCAAATATTTAAGCATGTCTCTGCTCAACCATCGCTTCTCCAGACTAAACATCCCTGACTCTCTAAGCCATTCCATATAAGGCATAATATCCAGACCATTGTGGTTGCCTTCTCTGGACCCCTTCCAGTTGGTCCATCTCCTTCTTGAATTGCTTTGCTCAGAACTGAACATACAGTATTATTATTCTAGGTGAGGTCTGACCAGAGCAGAACCTTCTAATGTTTTTGAGATTGGATGGCCATCTGTCAGGAGGGATTCAATGGTATCTTCCCAGAATGGGGTCAAACTATATGGCCTTGGTGTCTCTTCCAACTCTAGCTCTGGTTTTATAACCCTATATCTCTCTATGAACCTTCTGTCTTTGAGGCTGGATGGCCATCTGTTGGGAGGGACTGGATAGTGTCTTCCCAAATGGTAGAATGGGGTCAGACTAGATGGCCCTTGGGGTCTCATTCAAATCTCTAAGATTCTATGATGAAAAACATCATCTATACACATAATAAAAGTGAAAATATGTATGTGTGTGTGAGGCTGAGGTGTCAACTCACACACACAAGCTCCTGCCTCCACAAACAGTTATAGCTCCCACTTCTCAGGAGACATGAAAGATACTCCCTCCAATGACACTGCAGGTTATAGTGAGCACCATGGACATGTACAAGAGCCCTGACAATGTCCTCCACCAACACCTTACTGCGCACCACCCAAGTGAAGGCTTTCATTTGGGGACAATTTCACCCTAGATTGTATGTGTTTCCTCCACCACAGACATCCCAGTGTTACTTACTCTCGCCATTGGTGTGGAATTTGTATGACCGCCCCACCAACTGCCTCTCCTGTAACCCTTTCCTATTCTTTTCTATAGCACACAACAAAAAGAGGAATTGAGCATACTTGAGAGGTTTGGGGAGAATTCACCGTGATTTATGGGAGTTGTAGGTCCTGGGATGTAGAGTTGACCTGCAATCTAAGAGCACCCTGGACTCCACCAATGATGGACCTGGAACTAATTTGGCAAACAGAGCCCCCATGACCAACAAAAATACTGGAGGTCTTTGGAGGGATTTATAGGAGTTGTAGTTCACCTCCCTGTAGCAGGGAGTTCCACAGGCAAAGAAGGCCCTATCTTGCATATGGACTTACCGCGACTGCAAAAACGGTGGGGCTTTGAAGCTCTTCAGGGCCAATTTTGAACCCCAAAGGAAGGGCCAAGGACACTTAGCTTTCTATTCGGTTTGCAAATGCACCCAATGTGCACAAGATCTCTCCTTCCTCTTTTTTGAAGCTTTCAAAACCTGCATTGGGCCCCTCCCTGAAAGGAGGAAGAAGAAAAACAACCCAACCACAAGGAGGGTTTACTCTGCAAAGAGCTGTTGTGCAAAATAATAATACAAAGGGAAGGCTTTGAAGCCGAGGGCTGGACAATAGTTTGAGAGAAACGTGAACAAATGTATACTGCACATATCTTATTTGTAGTTCTGGATGGCCGTCTGTCAGGAATGCTTTGATTGTGCTTTTCCTATGTAACAGAATGAGGCTGGATTAGGTGGCCTTACTGTAGGATTCTTTAGCCCTATTTCTCTCCATGCACTTGCTAACGTCTATGAGGCTGGGTGGTCATCTGTCAGGAGGGATTGAATAGTGTCCTTTATGGCAGAAAGGGGTTGGACTGGATGACCTTTGGGAGTCTCACCTAACTCTAGGATTCTGTAGCCCTCTTTTTCCACCCACCTGCTAATGTAGTGAGCCTGGGTGGTCATCTGTTAGGAGGGATCGAATAGTGTCCTTCTTTATGGCAGAAAGAGGTTAGACTGGATGACCTTTGGGAGTCTCACCTAAATCTACCAGTATTAAAAAACTCTAAAATTACAACAGCACAACAACAGAGAGGAAACAAACAAGACATCTAATCACCTCTCAACAAAAGTTTGCTCTAGGCACTGTCAGGCCATTAGATGCTAATCAAGGTGGTCAGTTGAAACATTCACACCTCACACAGGGTGAGTCCTTTGTCTCACCCTGGTCATTCCACAGATATATAAACCCTTTTTCCTAGTTCCAACAGACCTCACTACCTCTGAGGATGCTTGCCATAGATGCAGGCGAAACGTCAGGAGAGAATGCCTCTAGACCATGGCCATATAGCCCGAAAAAACCTATAACAACCCAGTGATTCCGGCCATGAAAGCCTTCGACAGTACTTCAGAGAGCTTCTGTTCAACCATTTCAAAGCTCCCTGCTTGAGTGGTGATGGCATGATCATCAGATGAAACTCTCTGTCCCTTCTGGCAGTGTCTGGTCATTTGTATAAATGTTAAACATTGATGAAACAATTACGCTCCCCTGAGGCAGGTCGTTCTTCTGTTTTTGCTATCTGCTTCTCTGACCTTGGAACTCAACAAAAAAGCCCCTGTTCTGTAGCAGATTTCCTATGAAGTATGTGAGGTGCTAATCCTTTCTGATATTATCATTTTCTCAGGTGATGATGATGATAGCCACAATAATAATAATAATAATAATAATAATAATAATAATAATAATAGATATTGTGAACTGGACACAAACAGAGCTGGATGATCTGGGCATAAAAACAAGAAAACTGATGACATTCCACTACTCATTACACCTGCGTAGTGATGTTGACAGACTTTACCTGCCCAGAAAATCAGGAGGCAGAGAGAGGGGCTTCTGCAAGTGAAACAAATGGCAGCAGAAGAGAAACACACACTGGCAGATTATGGGAAAGGCAATCAAGAACCAATATTGAGGGAAGTCAATAGTAGGAAACTGATTCAAGTGCAAAAGACAAAGAGTGAATACCGTAAAAACACATTCCAGAGCAGAAGAGAAAACTGGCAAAAGAAGGGTCTCCATGGACATGGGAAAAAATGAGAGCCAAATTGACAAAGAAAAAGCATGGATGTGGTTCACAAGTGGAACTTTGAAAAAGGAGATGGAGGGCCTGATTCTGGCAGCCCAAGAACAAGCCATTAGAACAGGTGCCATCAGAATTGAAAAGTCGACGACAGATCCCAAGTGTAGACTCTGCAAGGAAGCAGATGAAACGATGGATCACATCCTCAGCTCTGCAAGATCACGCAGACAGACTACAAGCAGAGGCATAACACCATTGCTTAGATGATTAATTGGAACTTGTGCCACAAATACCATCTGCCTGCGATAAAGAACTGGTGGGATCACAAACCTGAAAAAGTTACAGAAAATGAACACGTCAAACTACTCTGGGACTTCTGAATTCAGACAGACAGAATTTTGGAGCACAATACTCCTGACCTCACGATCGTGTTAAAAACAAAGTATGGATCGTCGATATTGCAATCCCAGGTGACAACAGGATTGAAGAGAAAGAACTGGAAAAGCTCACACGATATGAAGATTTAAAGATCGAACTGCAAAGACTCTGGCACAAGCCAGTCAAGGTGGTCTCAGTGGTGATCAGCACACTGGGTACAGTGCCTAAAGTCCTTGGCCTGCACTTGAACACAATCGGCACTGACAAAATTACCATCTGCCAGCTGCAAAAGACCACCTTACTAGGATCTGCATGCATTATTCGCCGATACATCACACAGTCCTAGACACTTGAGAAGTGTCCGACGTGTGATCCAGTACAAAAGCCAGCAGAGTGATCTTGTTTGCTGTGGACTCATCTTGTTGTGTTTCAAATAATAATAGATGACGACTGACTATATGGGTATGAGGCTGATATGAGGTGTGGACAGGAATCTAAGTCGGCTTGATGGCCAACAAACCACCCCAAAACACTCCAAAGCTGTCCCATCTACAAGCCAACTATCTGAGCCTTTTGAGCGATTCATAATGAGACAAAGCCATTTCCTCAGAAGGAAAGAATTAAACAAGAAAAGCTTGACAAAAGCTGAAGCCCAAAGGGGCCCAGTCAGTAGCTGCAGGACAAGAGAACTGTTTCCTATTGACGGGAGACGAAAAAGCAGTCCTGCCTCGGCTCCTTTGCAACCGGGATGTTTATAAGAAAGCCTTTGTGTTTAGAGAACGGCCGGACTTGCTTGACAGCCAAGAGGGAGAAGAGGCAATCCAGATCCCGCCATCCATCACCCTCCAAGCTCCTGGATTCCTGGGACAGAAGGCTAAACATTGGGGCCACCCAGTTTTTGGCCTGGGAGAAACCTGCCTTTTGCTGAGGAAGCTCTAGCATTACAGGAGAAAGAAGCATTATCTCTGTATATACTATTCATAATGACTGTTTCCAAAACTTTCTGCCTCGTCCTCTCCAAGAAACCTCAGTTTCCCAACCCAGTTTGGCCCACTTTTCATTTTTTGGCCCTATATGTCCACGATTACGGCTTCAAAATCCATATTGAGGCACTGACCAAACAGGGGCCAAATGAGAGTGCATAACATTTCTGCCCCGATGTCCAACGTTTCCTCTACAGTTTCCTCCTTTGGAAATGATGCTTCTATTAATGTCGTCTGAAATATTATTTGCTCCATTAATTTCCTTGGAAATGATGCTTCTATTAACACTGTCTGAACTGTTATTTACTCAATACTTCCCTTAGAAACTATATTTCTATTAAAGCCATCTAAAATATTATTTGCTCCATTACTTCTCTTGGAAACAATGCTTCTATTAATGCAGCCTAAACTGTTATTTGCTCCATTACTTCCCTGGATTTGATCCTGGATGAATACACAGACCTGGTTTGCATCACCAAGATCTGGTTGGACCACTGGGTTTCAGGGTGCTCCAGCAGGCTAGGCCTGGGGGGCAGGGAGGCAGGGTTGCGATGGTCTATCGTGAGTCCATCTCCCTGATCGAGTGCCCCGTACACAATAGCCTAAGTTTGAATGTGTCTATCTGAAAGTGGGTAACTGGGACAGATTGGGGATTCTGCTTGTGTACCGTCCACCTTGTTACAGTAAGTTGTAGCAGGACCATGTGTGTGTGTGTTGAAGAAAAACATGTTGGTAATTACTATGTGCAGCTGAAAATGAGGGCGAGCCCATCCGAGACCCCTGCTTTCCAGCTGATCTGACCAACCGCAGGGAGTTCCACAGTTCCTGGATGCCCCGTTAGGCCAACTTCAATGGATTGTGCCTCAGTAACAGCCTCAACCAGGGATTCTTTCACTCTCGTGCTCTCTCTCTTTACTTTCTTCTCTGGCCCTAACATTGTAGCAAATCCCTAATAAAGCCTAATTGAATTGTAACCTTCACCTCTCCTCAGTGATACATTGTGTCTATTTACTGACTCAAAGTTTCTAATACATGAACCTATCCTTTTTTTGAGCTGCGGGAAGCCGCCGGCTCAGCCGGGATGCCTTCCAGGTGTCCCGGGGAGGCCAAAACTGCGTTTCTTTAAACTGCGGATACGGAAATCCCTCGGGGGCCCCGTATCCGCAAGTTAACCAAATGACTCCATTTCGATGCCATATTTTTCCTAGCCTAGTTCAAATACTAACTGCTATCTCACTTTTTGCATTTTGAACTCCTATGCTCTGGGAATAATCCTTTGGTTTTTAAGAAGGTATTTTAATAAGAAACAGCTGATTGTCAAACAGGGCTTCCCGCTGCCACGCTGCTCCTGCCATCGCTTCCTCGCCTTCACGGAGCCCCAGGACCCGGGGAACTTGATGTCGTCACCCCTTGAGACCCTCGGGAAGTGGACTTGCCATTCCTGCTCCGGATCCAGGAGGGAGTTGTAGTTTTCCTCACATCAGGGGCAGGGTTCGGCCCTGGCGGTGCAGAGCTCCCAGATACAGCTCGGTGGACTTACAACAACATTATTTTGCCTTATGGACCCTTTGCCCCAGCAAAGTCTTATGGACTCACCTATTTAAGTATTGGATCGTCATGAACTTTATGGACATACACTGAGCCATGATTAATTTCATCAATTTCCTTATGGATTTGTGGCGGGAGGGATAAGTGGGTATGATTTCTATATTATGAACTCTGTATTTTCCCCCCTATGAATGCAACCTCCACCTGATCCTTCTCCCCCATTCCCCTTTTTTCTATTTGAAATGTATAAAATTGTGGAGAGCCACCCTCTGGGACCCCAGGAAAGGAGATAATCTCCTGATTGAAAAGAACACTGACAAAGGACATATTTGCATGGACAATACAATGGCACCGATCTCAGGTCTCGGAGTCTGACCGCTCGAGGGGATGTGCCCCCTTGGCATAGATGATCATATCTCAACAGGACAAAGGGCCTTCGGAAAGCCACAA